ATAATAATAATAATAATATAAAATACATTATGGGACGTATCATTTTGTATTTTTATTTTGGCAAGATTATGCGGAAACCGTAACTTTTTTTTTTTTTTTTTTTTTTTTGGAAAATGAAAACGCATCAAATATAACTTTATAAAGATTTTTTTTTTTATAATAATAATAATAATAATAATAATAAAACATGAGGTAGAAAAAAAAAACATTTTTCGGCTTAAAAAAAAAAGAATTAAAATGATTTGAATAAGAACGAATGTATAATAAAGCGAAAAGTAGGATAAAAAAAAAATTAAATATTTTTTTTTTTTTTTTTTAAACAAGATAAAGTAAAATATATATATATTTGAAGAATGATAGAGATGAGTGAGAGTGAGAGAGAGAGAGAGAGAGAGAGAGAGAGAGTGAGAAAGCATAAACGGACTTCGTTAGTAAGGCTAATTCTTGTAATCCAGGTTTAAGCTTTCCCGCCTTCAAGTTCTCTACGTTGGAAAATTGAAATCACAGAGAGAGAGAGAGAGAGAGAGAGGAAAGACTTTCACTTTTATTTATTAGCTTTTCATTCGTTTTATCCGCCTGTTTATTTCACTTTTTATTTAAATAAAAAAAAAAATTTTTTTTTTTCATTTTAGGTAAAAAAAAAAAAAGATTTTTAGAGTTTGACAAGAAACATGACGATGATGTCAAAACGGGGGGGGGGGGGGGGGGAAGGGGGAGAAAATTTTTTTGTGTTTTAACATTCCGTTTGACTTCTCTCTCCCTCTCTCTCTCTCTCATTTTTTCCCGAAGAGCAGTAATTTGTTTCAATTTATGGCTGAATTTTCAACATGACGGAAAATGGTGAAAATGATCAAATGAAAATTTTTTTTTTTTTTTTATTCAATCTCCTCCTTCCTCTCTCTCTCTCGCTCTCGTTTCATATTCTTTATTCTTTTTTTTTTCCCTCATCGCAAACAAAAAAAAAAAGAAAATGATTCGATGATGCTGCCACGATAAAAATTATGAATATTTTATTTTTTTTTTATTTTTTATCCACCGTTTTAAAATCTTCCATTCTTTTTTTAATTTTTTCTTTTAAAAGAAAAGTTAATTATAAAATTTAATTATTATTATTATTATTTAAAATATTAATCAATGACGTAATATAGATTTTTATAAATAAATAAATAAAAGTTTTGACCGTTGATTTTGACTAACGTTTAAAAAAATAAAAATAAAATAAAATAAAATAAAAATTGATTATTATATTATTATTATGTTTTTTTTTATTAAAATATTTATTCCGTCGTGGTATTAGAAAATAATTTAAAATCGATTATTATTGATTTTATCACCGCCATATATATTAACATCATCGTCGTCGTCGTACCAGAAACCATAAAAAAAAAAAAAAAATTCGAATCAAATTAAAAAAAAATCTGTTGATTTGATAATTTGAAATTTAATACCTGACACGTTCGTTCGTTCGTTCATTCGTACGTTCGTTCTTACGTTCGTTGAGGATAATTTATTTTTTTTAAATCCGATAAAAATTTGGCTTTTTCCCTCCATTTTTTTTTTTTTTTGTAAAATTTCGCGAGATTTTAAAAAATGTTAAAAATCGTTTTTTTTTCCCCCTCCGACTTTAATTTAAAAATAATGTTCTTACCACCCCCTTTTTCCCTTTCCTCTTCCTTCTTCCCTCCTCCCAACCCCCCCAAAAAAAAACATCGTAGAAACGAATACGTAAACCAAGAAAAAAATGAAAAAAATTTAAAAGTAATTATCGAGTCATTCAAAATTCATTAACTTCACGACATCATTTAAATTAAAATACTTTTCAAAACTTGTCCTCCTCCTATTGGTGGCGTGTTTTTTTCCTTTTTTTTTTAAATATTTCAAAAATGTTTTGTTTTCCCTCCTCCCTCCTCCCCTTTTCCCCTCCTCTTCCTCTTTTTTCAAACTCATTCGAAAACAAAAAAAAAAAATTTTGTTAATTATTTTTCCGTCTTGACGTTTTAATTGAGCGAAAATACAGTAATTAAAAAGAAAAATGAAAGAAAAAACTTTCCCACCCCCCCCCCGTTTTCCAAAAAAAGAAAGAAAAAAAATTTTTTTTTTACAAAACGAACCACGTTTAAAAGGTTAATAACAATAATAAACAAACAAAATGCTAACAAAAAAAAAAAAAATTTTAGTTTGGGGGACCTTAAAAAACATAGAAAGAAAGAATAACCCCCCCCAAAAAAATAAGTTTCCTGTTATCTGTATAATTTGATTTAAAAAGATTTTTATAAAATATCGAACGATAGAATTTAACACGCACACACACGCATGAAATAACCTTTATTTATTATTATTATTATTATTATTATTATTTTCTGATTGAAAATTTATAAGCAATCAATCGTAAATAAATAAAAAAAAAAAAAAATGATGGATTGCTCATATGTATATAAAAGTTCTTGTTATGTTTACATCGTACCTGAATTTTCCCTTTTTTTCCTGTTCGTCTCAACTTTTCTTTTGTATTTTTTTTTTCTTTAGGAAAACTCTTCAATTTTTATTTATTTACTTTATTGTTTGATTTAAATCAAAATTCAATTTAAATTTATTTATTTAAATTTCTTTTATCGTATCGACATTATAAAATAATAATAATAATAATAATAATAATAATAATAATAATAATAATAGTAGTAGTATTTTATTTAAATTTTTAAAAATATTTTTTATCTGCGTTTTTATACCCAAAAACGGATCCCGATTAAAAAAAAAATTAAACGAAAATAAATATATTATTATTATTATTAATTTTAGGTATCGTATCCTTTTTGAAAAACCTTTTTTTTAAGCTAAAGGTTTCTATTAATTTGTTTGTAATACGTGAAATATAAAACTTTTCATATATTTACATAAAAAAAAATTAAAAATTTTTTTCTCTCTCTTATATCGCAGATTTATACGTAAAATTTTTACTATGAAAAGTAAGTTTAAAACATTTAGCATTATTATTATTATTAATTTACTCATAGTTGTAAACGTTGTAATAATAATAATAATTTTATTACAACGTGATTTAAATACATTTTAATCGGATTTTAAATTATTTAACTCGTAGTAACTCGCTTTTAATAATAATAATTTATATTTAATGAAATAATTAGGGGAGAGGTCATAATTATAAATAAATTTTACATTTTCTTTCGTAAAAATAAACAAATATTATTATTATTATTATTATTATTATTATTATTAAAAAATTAATGACGTAACGGAAAAAAATAGTAACGATTTAATTTTTTTTTTATGAATGAAAATAAAAACGTAAACAACGAAGAATACAAATTACAATGAATTATTGTAGTAGTAGTAGTAGTAGTGGTAGTAAATTTAAATAACTTAATTTTGATTGGTCGAAATCGGGTCATTACCCTTTACGATGATTCATACGGAAATGAACGAAAATTCACGATCTCAAAAACGTTTGTTAAAATAATAACGTGCGTCATTCAATAAACGGTTATTTATTATTAATTAATTAAAAAAATAATAATGATAATTTTTTTTCTCCTTTTCTTTTTCTCCTATAAAATAATTTTAGCGAGTAATAATAATAGTAATAATAATGATAATAATAATAAAAAGGAAAAAAAATTTACATGAAAAAAAAAAAGAAATGGAGAAAATAAATGCAAGAAGAAGAAGAAGAACAAAGAAAACATCATCGGATGGTAATTTCTATGTTTAAAAAAAAAAGTTAAATATTAAAAAAAAAAAAAAATAATAATAATAATAATAATAATAATAATAATTTATACGAATGAAATATATATATGTATATATGTATTACAGAAAGCTTTCAGACTATTAAAATTATTTTTCATTGTGTAACATTTTTCTTTAAGCCATTATAGAGTAAAATATTTTTAAAAAGAAAACTTTTTTTCTTTCTCTCTCTCTCCCCCTTTTCTTTTTCTTTTATAACTTTTACATAATTTTTTTTTTCCCTTCTTATCCTTCTCGGTTTTTTAATAATAATAATGATACTAAAAAATTACAAGTCAACTTGTTGAATTTTTTTTTTTTTTGTTATTTTAATTTTAACTTTTTTTTTTTTTTCGTTTGCTTTCTGTTTTTTTTTTGGTAATATTTAAACAAACCGATATAACGGATTTATACGTAAAGTTTATTATTATTATTATCATTATTATTTATTATTATTATTCGTTGTCAAAATAATTTTTTTTTTTTAATAAAACAAAAAGGAAATTATGTTTGTCGTCGTAGTCGTAGTTGTATTAATAATTTAACATTGAATATTTTTATTTGAAAATTTTATAAAATGACGTCATCATCATCATCATTTATTAAAAAAAAAAATTTATTGGTTTTGTTTTATTTTACCAGAAATAATATTCGAAGGGACAAAAAAAATTGGGGGAAGAAAAATGCAACGTTATGTAAAATTAGGGAGAGTGAGAGAGAGAGAAAGAAAAAAAATTTTCATCCTCACTTTATTTTATTTTATTTTAAATCCTCTTTTGGTCAAGACGTGTGCAATTTAAAAAAAAAAAAAAAGGGGGGGAGAGGAATAAAATAAAAAATTCATTTTAAATCCAAGAACCCTCGAGAAGGAGAAGAAAAAAAAATTTTTTTCATTGCATTTAAATAAGT